TGTCGCTGTCACATGTCGTGTGTACACGCCAACAAGCAAAAGGGGATCTTCTATTTAGCGTGGTACGTGCTGGGGAACGAGCCAACATGCAACCCCTCCCCCTGTGCGTGCTTTGGCCCGTCCCATATGTGGGGCGCAGCTCTCCAGTTCTTTTTTGTTTTTCCTTTTGTTTCATTCGTTTCTGCTTTTTTCACTCCATAAATGTTGAAGAATTCCAAATCAAAAAATGTTTGGGATTTAAAAACAGTTTTTAAATAATATTTTTTTCACTTATTTGAAAAAACGTTCTGAATATCAAAATTCCATGATTTTAGAAAACATTCCCCGATTATTGGAAACAAAATTGTTCACGATTTCAAAACAAATTGACGAATTTGAAAATTTTCTTGTATTTCGAAAACATATACATGGTTTTATATAGTGTTCTCAGAATTTTCTAAATGTTCACGAATTTGAAATTTTTCTTGCATCTGAAAAAATGTTCGCAGATTTAAATAGTGTCCTTGTATTTTTAAAAATATTCACAAATTATAAAAACTATTCATGGGTCCAAAATGTGTTCATGAATTTGAAGGAAAATGATTGTCTATTAAAAAATATTCACAAATTTAAAAATGTCAACGATTTCAAAAAATGTTCATATAATTGTAAACTTGTTCCCAAAAAATGTTCACCAATTTGAATAATTTTTCATGAATTAAAAATTATTCACTACTTCAAAATGAAATTTATCGTATTATAAAAAATGTTCCTGGATTAAAAACGCAATTTTGATTATTTTCAATTTTAGAAATATTCACCAATATTAAAAAAATGTTCCCGAAATTCAGAACATGTTCATGAATTTAAAAATATAAAAAATAAAGGAAAAATGAAAAAGGAAAAGGAAAAGGAAATGATAGAACGAAAATAGAAAAAGTCAGAAAAATCAAAAGGAAAAACATGATAAAAAGAGAAAAACAAGGCTAGAAGGTTTTAGAACAGTCATAAAACCAAAAAGGAGCTAGTTGGGCTGGCCCAAGTTTATGTAGCAGGGAGGGGGTACGTGTTTGGTTGTTACTAAAATAGGAGCCACAATTTGCATATTAAAAAGGATATAAACCCTAGCTAGCTCTCCAATTTCAACTAAGATAGGAGCCACAATAGAACGCGAATTGTGGCAAGTGTTCCAGAGTGAAACAAGCTCCGGACAATCAGCTTCCATGATCACATACCCTGATGCCCTCCCTGGGCACGAGCACTTGGTCGGAGAAGGGGCCGGCAGCGGCGAAGCCAAAACGTGAGGAAGAGGAGGAGTTGGCCATGTCCTCACGCCTCCGTGGATCTCGTGTGCTCCCGACTCTGCCGGCTAGTCGGGGCTCAGTGGCGAGCGGTGAAGAGGAACTGAAGTCGCACCTCGTCTGCGGGGAATTTTCTGAGATGTCTACCGCGGAGACTTTGGAGACGCAGGTTGAGAGACGACATTTTGGTAGGTGGGACCGCGCGGTCAGATCTTTTTATATTCATACTCCTACTTGTCTTTAATTATTGTTTTTTCTTAATAAATTCCTTTGCTACATGTTCATGTCAAATGGTGCCAAGACGAGGAACAAGAGTGACACTATCTGTTTTTTCCATAACACGGCCATTAAATTCGCTGTTTTTCCTTTCCAAAAATTCTTCCAATATACATCTATATATGTATATATAAGGTAAAAATATATATTACAATTACATCTACGAATCACCTAGCGACCATTACAATTTAGATTAAGTAGGCGTACATATATCAATTTTCCTATATAGTCTGGGATGCTTTGTACAAGTGAGTAATTCAGTACCAAAACACGAAGAAGCGGGAATCTCTTGAACAATGTATCCTCAATTCTATGTGGACCACGAACAGTTAAGAAAGTCCTCACCTTAACATCCACCTTGTCCACTCTATGTAACACTAACATATCCTTCTTAATAACAGCAGTAACACGTCGTAGTTTTGACAGATTTTCACCCCTTAATGTTTCAACATCTCCAATAAAACATTCTTCTCTTGATATATTGCAAGCAAGCTGTCTTGAGAGGTCATGCATTTTGCACTTGGCCTGGTCACAATTTAAAAGATCTGGCTCAAGGAGATTCCGATGGATTAGCTCATAGTAGTACTCTTCTGTTATCTCTTTCAGTAGTTGTCCTTCCCGCTCCTCGATGAAGCCTTCAGCAATCCATAACCAGGTAACTACTTCACGTTCGATGATAACATCTTCACCATACAAAGCACAATAAAGGAAACACTGCTTCAGATATATCGATAACTCATCATAGCTTAGATACATAGCTCCTTCTATTTCCTCCGAGAGCATGTACTGGGAGCCAAATTTGTCCAAATACCTTCTCCACCCGTTCTCCGTTAGATCTCTGCTTGCCAAAGCACTAGCAGTAACCTTGATCGCCAAAGGAAGGCAACCACATTTACGAACAATCTTAGTCCCGATGTTTTTTAAATTCCACACTTCTTTCTCTTCCTCAATGTTCATGCTCTTCCAAAGTAGCTCCCATCCCACCTCTACTGACATGAGATCAACTCGATGGGTACACTCCACACCTATTCTTTTTGCAATTTGGTAATCTCGTGTGGTTGCCAATATTGCTCCGGCAGTTGTTCCATGAAATGCAGGTCTTAGTAAATCTGTTCATACGTTGGAATGCCACACATCATCCAAAACCAGAAAAAAAAACTGATGCCTTTAATTGTTTCTGCAAGTTTTCTCTGTAGCTCTGTTATGCTTTCACCTTGCTCATTGTGCACACCAATATTTCTAAGAACCTCTTTCAGAAGAGCTACTTCATTGTACTCTCGTGAAACACAGATCCATGCTTGTATCTTGAAGTTCCCTTTTATTTTCTAATCGCTGTATATTTTCTGAGCTAGAGTTGTCTTACCAACTCCTCCTGTTCCAACTATAGCTATTTTGTAAGACTTATTTTCCTTGTGCGCAAGCACCAAATCCACCAACTGAAAGCATTGATCCAAAAACAATTTGAGTGCGAGTCTTTCTAAATACAACAGGAATAATTGAGTTCAGGAAAGATAGTAGTTTCTGCAATTTTCCTTATTCTTCTTTAGCTTAGTTGCAGAGAACAGAGCTTGTCCTTCAGAGAGAGCTCACGCTTCTCCCCTAGACTAGGTAGCTCCTTCAGAACGTACTTCGGCGCCTCCATCGTCGTCATCGGCCACCCTTTGCCGAAGTTCAGCCCTCCGGCGCAGGGTATCTCCTGCTCGGGGTTGCTCTCCTGGAGCGCAGCAACAACAGATTTCGCCGCACTGCACATGTTTATTCTGCAGCTGTGTCGATTGCAATCCGTCCATGAATGCAGTAACCATATTAGCTAGTCCAAAGAAACAAAAGATGGATCATTCATTCATTCATTTACCAAAAGATTTTACTGCTGCACTACTAATCATCGTGCACCAGCACAACCACTGCAAAGCTGAAGCCGCTGACGGTGACAGAGTACATGAAGCAGAATATCATCATCAGAAGGATTAATTGTTTCGCCAAAGAAAAAAAAAGGAGAATAAGTTTGAGTAATTCTAATAAGTTTGAGTCAACAAACACGTAGGAGTACTACACAAGCGATGCTCCTCGCTTCAGTTTGATCACAGCCAACAGTCTATTAATTCTAATTACTACTTACTAGAGGCGATTGTGCCTGACAGTAGCCAAAAACAGACACTATTCTTATACATATCCAATTCCTTGCAGCTAAACGGACACTGCGCCTGACAGTAGCCAAAAACAGACGAGACTCTTAGCTTAAAGCAGAGTGAAACCAGAGGCAAGATGAGAGTATTCTGTAGTCCTCGATCTTAATCACACGCTATAAGTTCAGGAAAGAACGATGTGTGTGATTCCGCAACTGTGTGTGTGAGTTGGGCATCATCTTCATCATCCAGGTGCAGTGCAGCAAAGAACGAAATTCACCGGTTACATTACATCCGAAGAATGTCTCTGCTCAGTGTGCGAACTAAACCGTGTCCCCCAAAAAGAAAACCTGTGTTGATTGATTCGAGTCCGTCCATGAGTGCAGTTACCAATTTTTTTTGGAAAAATAAACACCACCCACCAGCACAATCAAAAAGCTGAAGACGCCGACTGACGGCAGAGATACGTAAAGGAGAACTAATATAATTGTTTCGGCAAAACAGTTTTTTTGGGTCTGGAGAACACGTCTGAATTTGAGCCAGCGTAGGAGTAAACAAATACACTATAGAGATGCACCTCGCTTCAGTTTGATTACATACAACGGTCCAACCAACCAAATATATCTAATTCTTTACTACAGCTAAACGGTCACTACCACAATGAATGCAGTTCGTGACCATAACTAATTAAAGACGCAGACAAAACGACAAGAGAGAATTGCCGATATTCATCACACGATAATTAACTTCAGAAAAGAAACGACGGTATCTACTGAATAGCACGGCATTGCAGTATTACTTGCTACGGCAGATGGTGTAGCAGTATAAGAGTTTCTGCAGTTTGCTTGTTCTTATTCAGCTCCATCGCAGAGAACAGAGCTTTGCCCCTTATCCTTCACGCTTCTCCTCCCACAGATATATACTCCCTCCGTTCGAAAATATTTGTCATCAAAATGGATAAAAAGAGATGTATCTCGAACTAAAATACGTCCCCTTTTATCCCTTTTGATGACAAGTATTTCCGGACGGAGGTAGTAGCTCCTTGAACAAACACTTGTCGCCCCCTTTCACCGTTTGAGCATATTATCAACTCTAAGAGGAAAATTACGAGAACGTAAGCAATAGCAGGGGTTTACAGTGCATGTTAGTTAAAGAAGGAACACACACAAGCAACTTAGAGCAACACTAAAAACTCATATGCTTGCAGTCTGCTGCCAATGGAATCAAAGAAAATTTCTGTTGCATAAGCAAATTATGGTTGCTGGAGTATCAAAGATGCAATGCTCAATATCAAACCAGGTCATATACCTTGAGGCTGCTAGATAGTGTAGACATCCAGGTCTTCGCCATGAAGTTGCCGGTGCAGCTCTTGAAGCCCAGGCACCCAGCGGGAAGTGACCTCTTGCATATCCTCGTCCAGCCACAGCTGTTGCAGACTGCCCAGCCCCTCTACATGACATAAGTTCGGACAGCCAAATACACGCAGCTCAGACACTTGAGGGAGGTTGCAGATCCTCTCCAGGCCTTCACAATACCCAATAAGAAGGACCTCAGGGAGCACTGGGCAATTCTCCACAGCCTTCAACTTGTTTAGTTTTCTTAAACTGAGCTCCTTCAAACAGGCGGTATCCTTTCCAAGCTGTCGCGGGAGATCCCTCAGCTTCGGGCAACTGTGAAGTTTCAATTCCAACAAACGAGGCAGCAATTTCAACCTTGCAGATTGCGCATCCTCTTTGCGGATCTCAGCAGCTCCATCCTCACCCATTCCATCATCAGCAACTTCTTCCTCAAAAAAAGACCACACCTCCCAGTTGGGCATATCGTTGAACAACAACCATTCAAGTTTAGGGAAAGCAACAAAATCATTACACACAGGATCACCCTTCTTGAAGCCAACAAATTCAGGTCCAACCTTGGTAACTGCATGTGCTCCTTCAATTCTCAGAAATTTCAAGTTTGGTAGCTGCCCGATCGGTGGAAGTTCCATACATGATCGTACATCCCTGAGGATCAAGGACATTAATGAAGACAAACAGGTGGCACCAAACCAGGTGGGATACTGCTGACCAAAGAAACGTAAAATACACAGGTCTTCCAGGTTGTGCGGAGGTATTAGCTGCTCAAAGACCTTCTCAGTATTACTAACATCTTCTTTTGAATATGACCCCTCTCCACGTTTAGTCCACTCTAGTGTTAGTTTTTGTAGATGCCTTTTGTCCGTAAGCACTGCATTTCTACTACAGTGAGCTGCTCTTTCCAATTTAACAAGACAAAGATACCTCATCTGCGATAAAGAAGACAACTCTTCCAACTTCCATCCATCTTGTATAACAGCATTACCACTTCCATCACCAACAGGACAATCTCCTAAATGAGTGAGGAGCTTCAATTTTCCAATCCCTTTTGGAACCTGATTTATTTTTGTGCCAAGAAGATCAAGACATCTTAAACTGCTCAACAGGGTCACTGCCGAAGGAAGACTGTGCAGATCATAACAACATCTCAAGCTCAGTACTTGAAGGTTCTTTAGGGAGCTAATGGATTCCGGAAGACAAGATATGCGAGTGTAATCTAGATTTAGTAGGCGTAGATGTATCAATTTTCCTATATAGTTTGGAATGCTTCGCACAAGTGTGTAATTCAGTACCAAAACACGAAGAAGCAGAAATCTCTTGAACAATGTATCCTCAATTCTCCATGGACCCTTGACAGTTAGGAAAGTCCTGACCTTAACATCCACCTTATCCACTCTAGATAAGACCAACATATCCTTCTTAGTAACAGCAGTAACGCGTCGCAGTTTTGACATATTTGCACCCCTTAATGTTTCAACATCTCCAATAAAACATTCTTCTCTTGATATGTTCAGTGCAAGTTGTCTTAAGAGGTCATGCATTTTGGAGGCAGTCATGTCAAAATATAAGATATCTGGTTGGAGGAGATTACGGTGGATTAGCTCGTAGTAGTACTCTTCTGCTATGTCTTCTAGTAGTTGGCCTTGCTGCTCCTCAATGAAGCCTTCAGCAATCCATAACCTGGTAATTTCATCACGTTCAATGATAGAATCTTCAGCATACAGAGCACAATATAGGAAACATTGCTTCAAACGATGTGTTAACTCATCATAGCTTAGATACAGAGCTCCTTCTATTTCATCAGAGACCATGCTCTGAGAACCAGCATATTTGCCCAAATACTTTTTCCACTCATTCTCCGTTAGATCTCTGCTTGCCAAAGCACTAGCGGTAACCTTGATTGCAAGAGGGAGGTGACCGCATTTACGAACAATCTCAATCCCTATGTTTCTTAAATTCTGCACTTCTTTCTCTTCCTTAATGTTCATACACTTCCAAAGTAGCTCCCATCCCACCTCTACTGACATGAGATCAACTCGATGGGTATGCTCTGCGCCTATTCTCCTTGTAATTTGATCATCTCGTGTGGTTACCAATATTACCCCGGACGTTGTTTTATGTAATGCAGTTCTTAATAAATCCATCCACACATTGGAATGCCACACATCATCTAGAACCAGAAATAAACTCATTCCTTCAATTGTTTCTGCAAGCTTACTCTGCAGCTCTGCTATGGTTTCACCTTGTTCATGATGCACACCAATATTCCGGAGAATCTCTTTCAGAAGAGCAACTTCGTTGTACCCCTGTGAAACACAAATCCATGCATGCATCTTGAAGCTTCCTTTTATTTTTGTGTCATTGTATATTTTCTGAGCTAGTGTTGTCTTTCCAACTCCGCCCATTCCAACAATAGCAAGCTTGTAAGACTTATTTTCCTTGTGTGCAAGCACTAAGTCCACCAACTTCCTACTGGAATGTATGATCTCCTTTCCCACAAGGTTAGGCTCAACAAGATTGGAGCTTCTTTTCAGTTTGGATGTTGAGCCATTTTCTGTAGGTTGTGTACTACTATTTAATGATAGGAATATCTTGTCCTTTGAGATATTCTCTATCTTTCTATTGAGGCTTCTAATCCGAACAGCAACATCACGACGTGACCGGATGTTACAGAAGCAAGACGAAACTAAAAGGGCTTTACATGCTGTTGATTTGCTTGATGATGGTGATGAAGGATCATCAAGCAGTAGCCTGCTTCCTTTACATCTAGCCACGTCCACGATTTCGTCAACATCATATATAACATCTCTTAGTTGACCAAGCCAATTGTTTACTGCCAGCTCTTTTATCCTCCTTTTCTCAGCATCATGTATACAACACCGTATCAGTTCTACTCGCCGCAACACTTCTTCGAGCTCTTCTTCCACCCCCAAGATTAGTATGGCCTCACTAGTAATGATATCTTGCAATTTACTGGCACATGATCGAAGCAAAACTTCTAGTATTGTTCCCATGGATGAGACAAACTCGGCACCACGGGTTCACCAAAAAACACCAAGGTGACTTGTTTCGGGGAATGGCAAAAACTGAAGGCTGAAAATGAACACACACACACACACACACGGTGTTAACATGCTTTCAACATGAGTCAAGCCTCACAAAATTTATAATCACATAAAAGATATTAACCTATATAACCACTGACTAGCTATTAACATTTTTTAAAAAATTAGCATACTAGAGCTATGCAACATACATACAGATGCAATACCACTGGCGCCTAGAAGCATACATATATACTGAATCACAGGAAATGTTGCATTGAGTTTGAGTATTTCAGTTACAACATACTGATTGACCATACAGCTCAATTTTTGTTTGTCGGATCCACCTTCTTTACCCTGATCTGCTAGACTAGAAATGTTACTACTTATTCCATCTTAGTTATACATGAAAGTATGATAGCAAGTCTTTACCTCACAAACCACCCTTCCAACAAGGAAAAAATCGTCAATAATAAGAATGAACAGTGATCATCTTGAAGATGTAGTTTGCTCCAATGGTCAGCCAATTGCTACTTTCTCTACATTTCAAGGCCGAGTGCAAGCTAGAATCACTAGATAATAGAAGATCACCCCCCAATCCCAAGAGAAAACTATGGTGCTACACCTGCAATAGATGAAACACGATTATTGACGAACTAGTGAACAAAAGGAATAACACTAAATGTGTTATAGATCCACAAGTGCAGCACACTGAGATCGAATATATATACCTGAATATATAACACGAATACCTCAATCGAGGGTGATCAATGGACTAAACTGATCAGAGTTCTGTATTGGAACCAGCAGCAGCAGAGTAAATGCACATATACATACTCTAATTAACAGGAGAAGAACGAACAAATCCTTCAGATTTCAGATGCCGTACCAGATCCAGTAGCAACAGCATACTGGAGCAAACAACAGTAGCTGCTATAAAGCCATCTGGTGCCCTCCTCAGCCTATGTAAAAACTGCACACTAGACAGCGGAGTCCACCAAGGCGGCCAGCTGCGATATATGGTGTCTCGACTCTTGTGATGGAGATTGGCGGGCTGTACCAATCGTCAATACCAATGAAAGACTTTTGTTTGTACTGATACCTCCAGATCCAGTTTGTTTCCCTGAGAGTATTATACATGTGGCATGTAATGTACTACATGGTTTGTATCGAGCTGAGAGAGACCTTTTACTTATTTTTCCCTTTTAGAAGCAACAACACTTGTCCCCTTTTCCAAGTGGTCACCTGCTGGGATCGCGTTTTTCACGGGACAATGACTTGTAGGTTTTGTGTTTTGTGCGTTCAAAGACTTCTGGCGTACATTAGATAAACAAAAACAGTATGCAGACGTGGGGTGTCGTACCTCTTTTCAAAAACGAAAAAAAGAAGGAATGGCAACAGTAGAAAAACCAAGTACAAATGGTTAAAATATAATGCTGATAAAGATAGCTGTCCAGCACATAACAAAGATAGCTGTCCAAAGGCTTTGGCATCCTGAAAATTAAAAAGGCCTTTCGATGTCTGTTTACTATTACACATGAGGCTCCTTGACATTGCCTCAAAATATGAAGACAAATAGTGAGCAGGAGGAACTGCACTCACTGTCAGAAGGAAAGAGATATCATTTCACTTTGAAAGTACATCTACATCTGACCATAAGGTGATTTGTTGTATAAAAGGTGTGGCGGCCTATATGAACACGTGGAGACAGAAACCTTACCAGCTGAGCCCTGATCAAAGAGTAGAGTAATAGTTTACAGTGGCAAAAAATGTAGCACAAATCAATCAGGAGCCAGATGTACCTACGTAGACCCTGCATCTTCTAGCCACGTTGGCTTGGAGCTAGGGTATAACAGTGAACAGACAGCCTCTTAAGCTTCAAATTGTAAAAGACAAGTAAAGTTTTAAAGCAATTCGCTCTCCCTGTTTCCTGTGATTATCTTGTATGGACTACAACACAGAAGCGTGTGGAGATGTAGGTTTGTTCGAATATAATTGACTGCAAGTGTGCAGAGAAAACAGGATAAATGGACGAATGAAAATACTGAGAGAACTTGAGAAACTTTGCATTGTTGGATCTCGATGGTCACGAAGATATCAATCGATAGCCTTGTAAGTTCAGATACTTCTACAATGTACGATGCTTGGCATTGTAAATTTTCAGCAATTTGGATATACCTAATGCACTAGGTGTTTCCAGCTCTTAACTTGATAACAATCGCAGCTGGTTCCAATCATAAAAGACTCAAAAGAACTAAAAAAGAGGCGAGATTATCCTGCGCCTCTCATGTTTCAGTTGCATCAACGAACGTGGTCCATGTGCTGCCACACATATACTACTCCCTCTGTAAACTAATATAAGAGCGTTTAGATCACTAAAATAGTAATCTAAACACTCTTATATTAGTTTACGAAGGGAGTATGACTTAAATCCTCTAGCAAACTACCCCAACATACATGCCCCTCATTTTCTCAACTATAGAACTACAGACTGCATTGATCACAGCTGGTTCAGAGCACACGCTCGGTTTCAGCTTATTGGAGAACGCCCCATCAAACGGATCTCAGATTGGCCTATTTTAATTATTTACCCCGTCCAGCTCTCCAAAATTATAGTATCAAGATTTTCACTGCTACACAGATGAGAGGAGAGCTCGCGCCCCAGCACAACACGAGCATCACAATCCAAATTCCGCCCCTAAACCGAAGTAAATCGCCGAGCGAGCGAGCGAGCATAGATTGGAGAGCGCATACATACCCTGACGCCCTGAGCATGAGGATTTGGTCCGCAAAAGGGGGGCGGCGAAGATGAAGCATGAGGAGGAGGAGTTGGTCGTGTGCCGCCACCACATGCTGGAGGAGTCTCCGCGGATCCCGTATGCGCCGCCGGCTAGTCGGGGTTGGGCGGCGAGCGGCCAAGAGGGACAGAAGGAGATGGGGCCGCCCAGTCAGCGTCAGTTTTCCTTCATTAAGGAATATCTCCAACAGTTTCCCCGTAAAATAACCATTGTTTAGGGAAAGTTGAACAAATAAACTCTCCAACAATTCTCATAAAAACGCACATCCTGTATAATCTTCAAAACTTTTCATTCATCTACAAAAAAACTGAATATTAGTTGAGAGACACATCGTAAAATGCATTTTAACATTTCCCTAGTATATATTAAAGTTGAAAAAAAAACTGAATATATTAAATCTAGTATATCGTTGCTTGAAAAAATAGGTATAATAATGCATTTTAACATTTCAAAATTTTAATTAAAATAATAAATATGTTTGGTCCAACTAGCATATTTAACTTGCTGATGATCAGCGAGCAGTGAAAAATGCTCAGACAGTAGATCACAAAATTAATTGCGTAGACCGAGGGAAAAAAAGAACACTACTACAAACTGGTGGTGATTGCAGTTCGTCCACCATGAGCGCAAACATTAGTTGAGAGACACATCGCTTCAGTTTTATCACAGCCAGCAGTCTAATTAATCTACGTAATGTATTTCCCAATAACAGTTGCAGAAAACAGAGCTTGCCCTTCATACTTGACCCTAGCTTATTCCGCAGACAGCTGCTTCAAAATGCAGCAGAGCATCATCCGCGGTTCTCGACGTCGTGCTCCCGGACCCGGAGCTCAGCGAAATTCACCGTGTCGTGTTCAGTCTGTAGCTCCGTCAGCCATCCACCAACCACTTCCTGCAACAAATAGGATACATGCACCATTATTGGTTATATATGATTTACAATCCGACCCAAGTTCAGAAACAAAAAAAAAATTGACCGAAGTCAGCAGGAGCTCTGCTATTGCATTTAGAAGGGGGAAACTGTACATCGGCTGTTGCCAGCTTACAGAGTAGCCAAGTGGCTAACAAAAAGAAGAAGAAAAACAAGGCTCAAGAGTCAGCCTTCTAAACCAAACACCCCCTTATTTACATCAAAATATGGTAGCATATGTATGAGTATTACTAACTCAAACATGTGGATATTGCTGTAAAGCTTTGCCTGAAAACTAAATATGGACAGAAGTTTAGAAATAATATAGAAATAGATCAATGTTGCCCATGCGCATAAATCATGTACCATATACTCCTGTTTCTAGGAGCTATCAGTAAAGTAGGAGTACGTTCTAGCTTTAGTTCGTAAGGAAGAAATATAGAGTGCCAATATGTCGGAAGCATCAATCATTCCACCAATCCATTTGTTAACTCCCAAAACAACATCCGACTACCTATAACCTGTAGGTACCAAAAGAGTATGGAGTAAGCTTAAAATTCAAAGGAAAAAAAAATAGACACGATTTAACAGGAGGCCCCATAAAATCCAAACCACAAATATTATTAATTTCAAAAGGAGTGTTTTTTCCACAGAAGAAAAGTATTTGGAAGGAACGAACTAATTTTAGACTAAATAGTAAATAAATTACTAAAAGCCAGATTATAATTAAAGTAGTACGAAACTCACTACCTGCAATCAAAAATTGATCTCCATGATTTCTTGCCAGAGCCATCAGTTGTAATTTCCTTTGATCATCTGGATCTGATTTGACTCAAAAGACTAAAAACCTTTCTAACGTCACAAATGATCAGAAACTAATCTGGTTTATTTAGTGTGTTTGCCTTCAGGCCATTGAATAAGACCGAACAATCAATGTCCAGAATAACATGACCCTGTCGACAGTGCCCAATCAAAGCTGCAGCAACCTCTGCCTCTTAAGTTTCATCGAACTGAGTAATGCTTCGCCCGAGGGAATAGAACACCATGCCACACTGTGATCCCTGGCCACCGTACCTACCTAGTAGCGTCCCGTATCCGGTAGGAAAGAAGCATCAATATGAAATTTAACCTTACCAACGTCTGGGACCTGCCAATGGATGACAGACACAACACCTGTCTCTTGGTCCATGTTCGCAACAATATCGTTATGCTACCTGTTACTACCTGCTTTGTTGACAATCATATCTGATCCCAGGGGATCC